ACATGGTTTACTATGCAGGGAATGACAAATTGAAAAGGAATGGTGTTGCATTCATCGTCAAAAAGAACATATCCAGATCAGTCATGAGGTACAACGCTATCTGTGATAGGATAATATCCATGTGCCTACAGGGAAGACCAGTTAATGCCACTATTATTCAAATTTACACACCAACCACTAAAGCCAGTGAGGATGAAATAGAAGAATTCTACCAACTTCTGCAATCTGAAACTAATCAAACATGCAATCAAGATGTATTGATCATTACTGGTGATTGGAATGAAAAGGTTGGGAGCAAAGAGGAAGGATCAATAGTTGGAAAATTTGGACTTGGTGATAGAAATGATGCTGGATATCGCGTGATAGAAATATGCAAAATCAATGATTTGTTCATTTCAAATACTTTCTTTAGACAGCGTAAGAGACTACTATACACATGGACCTTGCCAGATGGAATACACAGAAATCAAATTGACTACATCTGTGGAAAGAGATGGTGGAAAAGCTCCATATAATCAGTCAAAACAAGGCCAGGGGCAGATTGTGGAACAGACCATCAATTGCTCATATGCAGCAAATTCAAACTGAAGCTGAAGAAAATGAAAACAAGTCCACAAGAGCCAAAATATAACCTTGAATATATCCCACCTGAATTTAGAGATCATCTGAAGAACAGATTTGATGAATTAAACACTAAAGACTGAAGACCAGAAGAATTGTGGGATGACATCAAGAACATCATACAGGAAGAAAGCAAAAAGTCATTAAGAAGACAAGAAAAAAGGAAAAGATCAAAATGGATGCCAGAAGAGACTCTGAAACTTGCTCTCCAGCATAGAGATGTTAAAGCAAATGGAAGAAATGAGGAGGCCCAAGAGCTGAACAGAAAATTTCAAAGGTCAGCTCGAGACAATAAAGTCAAATATTACAACAAAATGTGCAATGATATGGAGCCAGAAAACCAAAAAGGAAGAACACGCTCAGCATTTCTCAAGCTGGGGGAACTGAAGAAAACATTCATTCAAGCCTTGACTTTCGTTATTGACGGATTCTCTGGGAAAATAATTGAATGATGCAGAAAGCATCAAAAGAAGATGGAAGGAATACACAGAGTCACTGTACCAAAAGGAAATGGTTATTGTTCAACTGTTTCAAGAGGTAGCATATGATCAAGAGCCAATGATACGGAAGGAGGAAATCCAAGGTGCATTGAAGGAACTGGCAAAGAACAAGGCACCAGGAAATGATGGAATAAAAACTGAAATCTTTCAAGAAAGTGAGGCGGCACAGGCGGCACTCACTCATCTCTGCCAAGAAATTTGGAAGACGACTATCTGGCTGACTGATTGGAAGAGACCTGTTATTTGTGTCCATTCCAAAGAGAGGTGATCCAACGGAATGCAGAAATCATCTGACAATCTCTTTGATATCCTATGCGAGTAAAGTTTTACTAAAAGTAATACAGAAATGGCTGCAAACATACATTGACAGAGGACTTCCAGAAGTTCAAGCTGGATTCAGAAGAGGTCGTGGAACGAGGGATATCATTGCTGATGTCCAATGGATCTTGGCTGAAAGCAGAGAATATCAGAAAGATGTTTACTTATGCTTTATTGACTACGCAAAGGCCTTCAATTGTGTAGATCATGACAAGCTATGGACAACATTGTGAAGTATGAGTATTCCAGAACACTTAATTGTGCTCATGAGAAATCTGTACCTGGACCAAGAAGCAGTTGTTCGAACAGAGCATGGGAACACTGAATGTTTTAAAATTGGGAAAGGTGTGCAACATGGTGGTAT